AAAGACAATAGACAAATGTTTATTAAAAATAATAGTGTCAACTTACTAGTTCACCCATCCCCCGGGTCCCCAGACTTGCCAGCATAACCAGGTCTAAAGAGACCTCTGGAAGCTCAACCTCAATTCAGGGGAGAGAAGCTGGGGTGGGTTCTACTTACCTTTTCTACCGGTTTGCAACGGGATCGCGCAGATCGCCAATGATGATATCTGGGGCAGTGGGCGGGGCCTCTGGCCGGTTTTACTACCAGTTCTTGCAAACCGGTCCAAACCAGGGGCAACCCACCACTGGAGAGAAGATAGAGCAAGGCCCACAGCAGAAAAGGCCCACAGCTATATTGCCCTTTGTTAGGAAATGTGTTCTGTGAGCACACATGAAAATGGAAATTAGATCAACCCTGAAATGTTGCAGAGAGATAACCCTAAAATAACTCCATGATGTCTTCTTTGTATTTACTCAACTATGCCTATTTATGATTCCGTCACTTTTTTTTGTACAAATAGCATCTAAATATACATTTATTGTTGTTTTTAACCAATTAGTCATGTCCAATTCTTGCCAACTTTATAGGCAAGTGCTCTCTGTGCTACCCTGTCAAGCACACTTCTTACAATTGTTGTATGTTCAACTTTGCATCAGATTTGATGTTATCAAGCCAGCGTGTTCTTTGCTTGTCTCTTCTTCTTTGTCCACTAACCATTTCTAGCATCATTGTTTTTTCCAATGAACTGTACATTAGATATCACTTAAAGCAGATCACTTGTATGCTGTCAAATAATTCATAAAAATGTTGGTATCAAGTATCAAGAAATCAGGGAACGAGGTGCTCAAATGAATATAGATTTATGGCATGCTAACACTCTCTACAAGAATCTGAACAAATTGGTGGTAGAAAAGAGTCAACAGAATTCAAGGTGGTCTGGATTTAGAAGGGACTCGAGTCTGATGACATACTTGACCCCTCCTTCAGGCTCAGAACCAACAATACAATTTTAGTCCAACATAACTGGAGGCCAACAGATAGACGGAAGTACAGTTGCAATACTTCTATAGCAATGTATATAATTTCAAAATGTATCTAGTTTCTACACGGAACATCATATGTGAATAATGTTGGTATTTGGAACCATTATGCTAATTCAGAAGAACATTTTAGGGCTAGTGCACTTGAATTTTGGGTGTGCAGCAGTATAATCCAAAATACAATGCAATTTTTCACCTGGGTTGCATAAAACGAAATCCTTTCCTTGATTTGTGTAGCTTTTACTCTGTGATGAGCTCATTGCTATAACTAAATAAATATCAATGACTAAATAAATAACTCATTTAACACTTTAAATAAAGTAAATGGCATTAGACTAGGTTGCATTAAGTAACATGGGAATATGAGAGATGAATTTTGTAGCATCTGAAAACAACATTACAACAATTTCTACATCAGGTACAATAAACCCACAAGGCCTTATTTTTAACCTACCAAATCTCTGTTTTGATAAGAATTTGCCTATGTGAAGAAACAAACCAAATAGATTGCCTAGAAGATTGTTAATTCTTACTTAATTTTCCATCTGCCATTTCTCATAAGTAAACATTAAAGTAAAATTTTAGAAAATACACAGCATTGTACACTATTAAAGTAAATAATCAGTGCCTATGAAATTCACTTGTGTTAATAAATCCCAGTCATCTCTGAATACAAAGAGCAACATATGGGAGTACATAGCAAATATGATTTTTAACAAGAAATATGTTTCATTAATATGGACAAACATAGTGGTTTAAATAGAGCACTATACCCTGAAACTGACAAACAGGTCCCACGATGAGATAATCCTACTACAGACACCAGTAAAACCAAGAAGAGTCATATCCCACTTTTGCAAAGGTTGCTTACTTAAAATCAATTACAAAAGATCCTCTTCAACTCCCAGAATTCCTAGTCAGCATGCTCGAAGTACTGAATATATCTCCGTTTTCCTCAATGTTTTAAGGGCAAATTGTTGGCCCAGCTTCCAAATGTACAAATTAATTTCTTACGAACAAAATTCTTCCAAGCAGCAAACTACACACCTAACATAGCCCTATGCTCGATACATGGCTATTGAGTGTTGAGAAAAAGGCCTGGCTAAATACTTTCAAAGACTGGCTAAAAATTTATCTTCAGCACCATGGCTGGTCCTTGCTTACATCTTGCTAGACAAATTCCATTCCACCCAGAAACAGCAAATTGGAGACCAAGTTCAGCATGATAGTTTTGCCTCGGAAGCTTTTCTGACACTGGGACAAGTACAAGTTATGACAGCTCTTAGACAAAGGATCCTTAATATAGGACTGCAAATGAAAGATACCAAACTACCAGCTAGCTAGAATACAACAGGGACCTAGTTAAAATCTGTTTCAAACCAGCCCAGGATCTCAATCAGCTCGCAATAAATAAATTCCACGGAGCCTTGACATTGTTCTACCATTAGTGTTTTGGAGAACAAGTTTCAGCATCCACTGTATATGCAGAGAGAACTTGCCCCTATCAATTTGACAACAGTGAATCACTGGACACTGTGTTGCCATATTGTCACTTCTAAGAAGACAGCAAACTTCTGATCTAAAGTTTTGTTCGCCACGATGTAAAAAAGATGTTGAGACTCTAGAAAGAGTGCAGAGAAGAGCAACAAAGATGATTAGGGGCCTGGAGGCTAAAACATATGAAGAACGGTTGCAGGAACTCGGTATGTCTAGTTTAATGAAAAGAAGGACTAGGGGAGACATGATAGCAGTGTTCCAATATCTCGGGGGTTGCCACAAAGAAGAAGGAGTCTAACTATTCTTCAAAGCACCTGAGGGTAGAACAAGAAGCAATGGGTGGAAACTAATCAAGGAGAGAAGCAATTTAGAACTAAGGAGAAATTTCCTGACAGTTAGAACAATTAATAACTGGAACAACTTGCCTCCAGAAGTTGTGAATGCTCCAACACTGGAAATTTTGAAGAAGATGTTGGATAACCATTTGTCTGAAGTGGTGTAGGTTTTCCTGCCTGGGCAGGGGGTTGGACTAGAAGACCTCCAAGGTCCCTTCCAACTCTGTTATTCTATTCTATTCTATTCTATTCTATTCTATTCTATTCTATTCTATTCTATTCTTAGACCATTTTCTGAGTAACCAGATTTTTTTTTTATAGAAAACTCCTGGCAAATAACAACCCGAAATCAAAACATGCTTTTGCTAAGTTGGCATTTGAAGCCTGCAGAATTCATGCTTTTCAAGTGGAAAATCAATTTTGGATTCTGGTTGTATTGTGTAGACTAGAGTATTGCACGAAGCATTAGAGTGCTGCATTATTCTTACCTTGTTTTACTCTAAATGAAAAATGTTGCCTAGAACACTACAGGGATATATCTATATACTCGCCAGGAGTCAAGACTGACTTGAAGGAAAAAAATAAAAAATAACATCAGAGACCTTCATTATATCTTTTAATAAAACTGGAAGGCTAAAATAAAAATGATTTGTGTTCCGTTCTGCTGGCTTATTGTCGTAATGTGATTGTCAAGGGATTATAGAAATTATTTCAATCTAAAGAGACTTCAGGCATTTTCAGATCTGAAGGACTACACGGTGAATAAGCAACCAGGAAGGATAGCATTACAGGGACTAATCCTGCTCCAATGGTCATCGGTCCTTTGGATTGTCAGAACAGAGCCCCAAACTTATAGCTCTACATGTAGGGCACCTATGGATAATGGATGAATTCTGCCACTGTCCTCTTATACAAGTTCTCTAAGCACAAATTCCTATCTAACTAATACACTCCTCCATTAGATGGTGGAAATAGAAACGTTTCCTGTTCTGCATCACCTTCCTTGAAATGTATTTGGATCAGAGGTGGGTTTCACATAATTTTACCACCGGTTCGCCGCGCACCAAAAATGCGAGCGAGCGCCTTCCACCAATGCGTGCGGCCTTCCGCGCATGTCCTTTGCTTGCGTACGTGGCTTGCACGCATGGGCATGGCTTAGAAATATGTAGCACCGGGGCAGGTGGGCAGGCGCAGGTCGCCACTATCGGTTCACATGAACCGGTCCGAACTGGCTGATACCACCATTGATTTGGATCCATATTCCAATAATGATTTGGATGAAAGGGAAAAATGGAAAAATGATCCATATCATGGTTCTGTGAGCCTAAATATGTCACTGTACTTTCTATTGTACCAGATTCAAAAAAAAAAAATTCTTCTCCCATTTATATATATTTATTTATTTATTTATTTATTTATTTATTTATTTATTTATTTATTATTTGGATTTATATGCCGCTCTATCTCCAAAAGGACAGGGCGGCTCACAACAATAAAACACATACAGTCTAATCCTTCCTTTAAAAGTACCCAATAAAACTATAAAACTATAAAAACCATTAAAATCCCCTCTAAAACCCCTTCAGTCCAAGCCGGCCAGATGAAATAGCCATGTTTTAAGGCCACGGCGGAAAGAGTGAAGGTCAGGGGCCACCTGGAGCCCCAGGGGGAGCTGATTCCACAGGGTAGGTGTGCCCACAGAGAAGGCCCACTCCCTAGGGGTTGCCAGCCAGCATTGTCTGGCCGACGGCACCCCAAGGAGGCCCTCCCTGTGGGAACGCACTGGGCGATGGGGAGCTGTCGCTGGCTGCAGATGGTCCACCAAATACCCCGGGCCTAAGCCATGTAGGGCTTTATAGGTGATTACCAGCACCTTGGATCTCACCCGGAGGGCAACTGGTAGCCAATGCAGGTCCCCGCAGGAGGGGTGGTTATAAAAGTTGCATAATTGAAATAAAAGAAAGATAGCATAACAGGACCCTTTCAAATCATTCACCAACTTTCCATATGTACAAAATGACAAGAACTGTTTGAAAACCAGTACTAAATAAAAGATGCCACTAACTATTGGGTTAACTTTACTTTGGAGACAAAGTAGAAAATATACAGATTGGGGGGAAAAAGCAATGGAACAGTCAATGACTTACGTTATTCATGTACTCTGAAAGAAGGTCTTGAAGAGCTTGGCGGATGGCATTACACTCGGTGATGATGCGCTCACGGTGAAGGTCACGAGTACAGGAGGAATCGGCTAATAAAGCAGCTCCACTGATAATTCCCTCCAAACGTTTTTCAAGTGATGGTCTTATTTGGTCTTCACTTACAGTGATAGAATCCAAGGCAACCAAACTCTAGGAAAAGAATTAAAAAGAATATCAAGGAAGCTTAGATTAAACTCTAGGAAGACATTGAAAATGCTCATCCATAGACATCTGGGCTATCTAGAAACATCAACTCTAATGATAGCTTCATATAACATTGAGCTCCTTCAACAGAAGCAGGTCAGTTACTTGAGGATTCTTTTGGGTTGGTGTTTCTTGCTGGAGCAGCAGGTATTATTTATTATTATTATTATTTATTAAATTTATATGCCGCCCCTCTCCAGAGACTCAGGGCGGCTCACAATACATTAAAAAAAAAACATTCTAAAAACATTTAAAAGATTAAAAAACATTAAAAACCTTAGAACGCATTCACTCCTTCGTGGCCGGATCTCGCCAGATCACAAAGCGAGATCAACGGCCCCAGGCCTGCCGGAAAAGCCAGGTCTTCACAGCTTTTCGGAAGGCCAGTAGGGTGGGGATGGTCCAGACCTCAGGGGGTAACTGGTTCCAGAGAGCTGGGGCAGCCACAGAGAAGGCCCTCCCCCGTGGGCCCGCCAGCATTGTTTAGCTGACGGGACCCGGAGGAGACCAACTCTAGGAGACCAAAGTCTCCTTTACTCCTAAACTTTGCCCAGTTTAGATTAGTGTCCAAGTTCAGCTGAACCTGGACTTGTGGAGTCCTTGTTATGGTGACTCATGTCCTTATCGCTATGCAGATTGACTACTACAACATACTCTCTATGGTGGTTCCTTTGAAGATGACCTGAAATCTACAATTGACACAAAGCAGGGGTGAAATCCAAAATTTTTCCCTACCGTTTCTGTGGGTGTGGCTTGGTGGGAGAGGCAGGGGAAGGATATTGCAAAATCTCCATTCCCACCCCACTCCAGGGGAAGGATACTGCAAAATCTCCATTCTCTCCCCTCCAGGGGGAAGGATATTGCAAAATCTCCATTCCCACCCCACTCTGGGGCCAGCCAGAGGTAGTGTTTGCTGGTTCTCCAAACTACTCAAAATTTCCACTACCGGTTCTCCAAAACCTGTCAGAACCTGCTGGATTTCACCCCTGGTACAAAGTATAGTAGCCAGGGTGCTCCTAGCACAGTATAGCATTGATTTAGTTGTTTCACTAGCTAATCATTGGCTTCCAAATCCAATTTAAAGTGCTGTTATTACATTCAAATCCATTTCTATTGTTGTTTGGGGGTGTTTTAGGTATTGTCTTCTCCAGAATTATTCTGAACATTCTGTTAGGCCCTCTTTTTGTTGTTGTTTCCTCAACAACATTTTTAGACGTAAGTTATCAGGACTTTATTCCTAGGACTCAGAATAGAATAGAATAGAATAGAATAGAATAGAATAGAATAGAATAGAATAGAATAGAATAGAATAACAGAGTTGGAAGGGACCTTGGAGGTCTTCTAGTCCAACTCCCTGCTTAGGCAGGAAACCCTACACCACTTCAGACAAATGGTTATTCAACATCTTCTTAAAAACTTCCAGTGTTGGAGCATTCACAACTTCTGGAGGCAAGTTGTTCCACTGATTAATTGTTCTAACTGTCAGGAAATTCCTCCTTAGTTCTAAGTTGCTTCTCTCCTTGATTAGTTTCCACCCATTGCTTCTTGTCCTGCCCTCAGGTGCTTTAGAGAATAGCTTGACTCCCTCTTCTTTGTGGCAGCCCCTGATATATTGGAACACTGCTATCATGTCTCCCCTAGTCCTTTTTTTCATTAAACTAGACATACCCAGTTCCTTCAACTGTTCTTCATATGTTTTAGCCTCCAGTCCCCTAATTATCTTGGTTGCTCTTCTCTGCACTCTTTCTAGAGTCTCCACAACTTTTTTACATCGTGGCGACTAAAACTGAATGCAGTATTCCAAGTGTGGCCTTACCAAGGCATTATAAAGTGGTATTAACAGTTCACGTGATCTTGATTCTATCCCTCTGGACTGAGAGAGAGTAACAAACCAAAGGCTAGCTAATATGCCTAAAGCAGGACTAGTACTCACATAATCTCCCAGTTTTTAATCCAATGCTTTTAACCACTACACCAAATTGACTCTCTTAGATCATCTAAAAAAAGCCTCACCAGGGCTCTGCCTTTAAAGGAGACGAGGTGATTTTAAACCATAAGGCAGGTCTTCTCTAATGTAGCCTTAACTTTTTGGAACAACATAACCTCTTCCTCTCGCTTTTAAGATGCAGCTGGCATCCTTTTTACTGACATTTCATAATGCTTTGAAAAAAAAACTCAGCTTTCAAAAATTGGCTATGGCTGGGCAGCTACTGCTCCTTGCTTGAGGAGCAAGCTATGTTTGAGATTTATCTATGTTTGAGATTTATCTTCTATATGGTGGAATATTATATTTTGCTTGGCGGACAGCTTTTATTATTTTTAGTAGTTTTCTATTTAAAAAAATACAACTTTTTTCTATTTCTGTACATTGTTTAGGATATGGTGGTATGGGCAGTGTAAAAATACTATTAATGGGGAGTAAAACCATACTTTGATCTTTTCATACAAAGAGATGAGTCTTTTCTATAACTGCAACCTAACAATGGAAATACTTTCTTATGTAGATCATTCTAGCTGCCTATTTATTATAACTGAGATCATATACTATAATTTATATAATTTACTACTATAGGGAGTTCACATTTTTAAACTTTGCCTAATCATTTATTGTGGTGAATGAGCCCGTTTTTTGTTCCTATCTTTGCTATTTATTCATAATGTTACTATGCTTTCTTGCTATTTTTATTTTAATATTTAATTTCACTTCAAATCATAAAAGCAGAAAGGACAAAATTCACATAAAGATATTCATGCCAACAAATTCATGCCAGCTTTACTCATGTTTGAATGCTTTTGGGTCTCTTTAACCTTCATTTAAAAAAAAAATTAGTAACAACAAAAATCAAGTAAAATTGAACATTCTTATTCAGATGACATTAAATTAGTCATTTCAGAGCAACAGGAAAAACATAATTTTGCATAAAATAAAAAAGATCAATCCGTTTCAGGAATATCTACTTCATGTAGACATGCAGCGACAACTACTGTGTTTCCCCGAAAATAAGACCAGGTCTTATATTAATTTTTGCTCCAAAAAACGCACTAGGGCTTATTTTCTGTTTAGGTCTTATTTTTGGAGAAATTCGGCACTAAATGCATCCATCTGGATGACAATCTTAACTGGGGCTTATTTTGGGGGTAGGGCTTATATTACAAGCATCCTGAAAAATCATGCTAGGACTTATTTTTCGGTTGGGTCTTATTTTCGGGGAAACAGGGTAGATTAGAATTTTGGATTTCATCTGAAGTCTTTCACATCTACATCAGAAGTGCACATACAAATCCCTGAGCCTCATGCATCCCCCTTTCAGAGCAAACTGGATATTTTAAATCCAACTGAAACTTAATTTTACCTCTTAAATCTACACAAATCAAGACCTACTTTATTTCTATTCCTGAATTGTAGCCCTCAATATTTTTGGCAAGACTTCAGGTCTACCAAGTTGAATACAGTACTTTGCTCTAAATTATCTTAGGCTACAATACTCTTTATTCTTGATCCTTGGCCATTCTAACTCGAGCTATTGGGCATTGAAGTTCAAAACTGTAAAGGTTGGGGGGATGGTAGCCTAAGTGGAAATAATAGAACATAATAGGTTTTCCTCAGCTATTTTCATAATCTTATTTCACTACGTGATTTACTGGTGTAGTAAGTTAGCACCCATCCCTCTCCTAGAAAAATGAAATATTCTAGGAAATATTAAAAAGGCAGAATATTATACCTCCCTGGATGAGAAATGGAGAAATATGTTTTTAGGCATGAAGCAGACTCACTCTTAATAGCCCCCACCCTCCTCAATAGCCCACAGCAGATGTCAGCACTTAAGAGATAAAGAGATAGCTAGGTCTATTCATAAGCAAATGCCCTCACCCAAGATCCAACAAAGATAGGATTAGCCCTCTACTCATTTAGCAACAGAATTCACCACATGGCACCTGGGGAGATTGCATCACCCAGCAAGGCTCAACCAAGCCTGGAACTCAAAAGACAACCTACAAAGTTACCCCTGCATGGTCCCATGGGAGCCTGACAACCAATCAGAATACAAGCTCAAATTCAAAGCCCAACAGAGAGTATAAATCTATCTATCTATCTCTTACCGATGTGCTTTTTTGCCTAGGACCTCAAAACCATGTGGTCCTGTCCACCATTAAACCATCTTTTCCAGCAGTCTCCATGTTTTCAATGTCTTTCTCCCCACTTGGAACTGAACCCAGATGGACATTTCTTCCAACACTGGTTATCACTATCATCTGCCAATGTCAACCTAGCTGGAGGCAGGGGTAGGGGATTGCAAGTATTAAGAGTTGTTATTCCAGAACCAAGCTAGGGAAGGTTAATTTATTCTAATATTCAAGGTAAGAAATTTTCAACATACTGATAGGAAACAGAAACAATGTTAAGCAAGGCTCTTTCGTTCTCTTTGTATGTTAAAAGGAAGTCTGAAAATCATTTTGAACAATGTATGTGGGTAAATAACTTCACATTGAAGTTCTCCTCTGCTGTCAATAATTTTGTGCTGTAGACTCATAGGAACAAAGTTACACCGGTGCTGTGTTGCATGCTTTCAATGTCAAGTGATAATTCTCTATTCAGGCTTTTAAAATATTCAAATACTATTTAAATTTATTGGCTTGCAATTATATTGGAGGAGCTACTTTTCCTAGACACAATTCCTGTTTTCAGGCTGAACCTGATAGGCTAGATAGAAAACAGAAAAAAATAGATGGTAGCGTACTACTACCATTCCTCTCTTCAGAAACAGCCAGTGCTTATAAATTATCCCGCGGATGTTATTTTTGAAAGTAACATCACATATATCCCTAAAATAATAAAAACAAGACTCATTGCTGAATCAATGGATTTTTAATGGGAAATTATTTCATAAGTTTAAGAATCATGCTGCATCAAACAAACTGATCTTAGATGTACTTTTTTCAGAGGAATAGTTCATTTCAACTTCTACAAATGTCAGTTCTTTTCTAATTTTGTTTCATGTGATTGAGTCCTTGTTATTAAAAATGCAGCCTCTTATCTTTAAAACTATGATTTAAGGTAAATTATAGACATCATTGTCCATATATTCTCCCCATTTATCTAGCATTATATTATGCCCAACTTTTTATGGCCCATTTTACCATACACTCTTTAACGTATTCCTTCACATGGTGACGGTTGAGAGGATTGTGACTTGCCAAACACTGGGAAGAGAAAGAGATGCTGACTGTTGAAAAGTGGATTTTGAAATTGACTGAATTAAGTAGAGAGGGCAAAATTAACTGTTTTGATTAGAGATAATGGGCTAAACATAAGAGACTGGACACTGTGGACTTTCTATGTGCTAAATATAATAAATACAATGCATGTATGCATGTATGTAAAAGGAGAGGAGAATTTATTGCTTTTTCGTTTCTTTCAGCACCCAGCCAGGGTAGATCCTACATGTTAAATGTTAAATTTAATTGACCACTTTTTCCTCCTTTTTAGTACACTGGTTTTTTTTTTTCTTTTTTGTTGTTGTTAGGGTTGAATGTAAGTTTTTGTTCTCTTTCATTTGGTTTGTTTGTTTTACTGTTTCGTATTTTATTTTCTGTGTACTGTATACTGTCACCCTGCCTATTTAACTTATATGCAGAGCACATCATGAGAAAGGCTGGGCTAGATGAATCAAAAGTTGGAATTAAGATTGCTGGGAGAAATATTAACAACCTCAGATATGCAGATGATACCACTCTAATGGCAGAAAGCGAAGAGAAGCTAAAGAGCCTCTTGATGCAGGTGAAGAAGGAGAGTGCAAAAGTTGGCTTGAAACTCAAAATTAAGAAAACTAAGATCATGGCATCCGGCCCTCTCAATTCCTGGCAAATAGATGGGGAAGAAATGGAGGTAGTGACAGATTTTATTTTCCTGGGCTCCAAGATCACCACAGATGGGGACTGCAGCCAAGAAATTAAAAGACGCTTGCTCCTAGGAGGAAAACTATGGCAAATCTAGACAGCATACTAAAAAGCAGAGACATCACCCTGCCAACAAAAGTGTGTATAGTCAAGGCTATGGTTTTCCCAGTTGCAATGTATGGCTGTGAAAGTTGGACCATAAGGAAGGCTGAGTGCCAAAGAATTGAGGCCTTTGAACTATGGTGCTGGAGAAGACTCCTGCGAGTCCCTTGGACTGCAAGGCGATCAAACCGGTCAGTCCTGGAGGAGATCAACCCTGACTGCTCTTTAGAAGGCTAGATCCTGAAGATGAAACTCAAATACTTTGGCCACCCAATGAGAAGGAAGGACTCCCTGGAGAAGAGCCTAATGCTGGGAATGATTGAGGGCAAAAGAAGAAGGGGACGGCAGAGAACGAGGTGGCTGGATGGAGCCACTGAAGCAGTAGACATGAGCTTAAATGGACTCCAGAGGACAGGAAGGCCTGGATGAACATTGGCCATGGGGTCGCAATGGGTCGGACATGACTTCGCAACTAACAACAACAACAATTTTATTTTCTATGATAAAACAATAAATATAAAGAAAAAAATGCAGCATCTAACAATAGGAATTCACAAATTCAGGACTATGGCTTCCTGTGTTGCATAATTATTAGAATAGATATATGAATACACAGATAAATCAGTGGTGAAATCTAAAATTTGTTACTACTGGTTCTGTGGGCGTGGCTTAGTGAGGGGTAATGTGACTGGGTGGGCGTGGCCTTTTTTTTTTTACTTTTAAAACCATTTTTGCTACAACCTCTTCAGCGAAGAGATTGTTAAAAAATGCTTTCAAAAGGCTCTGACGATCCCAGCTGAGTTGCCTCTGCCGATCAGGCAACTCAGCTGGGATCGTCAGAGGCTTTTAAAAGAAAAAAAGCCTCTGCCGATCAGGCAACTCAGCTTGGATCGTCAGAAGCTCTTAAAAGCATTTTTTCTACAACCTCTGAAGAGGTTGTAGGAAAAATGCTTTTAAAAGCCTCTGACGATCCCAGCTGAGCCGTGCGATCATCCGAGGCTTTTTTTTTACTTTTAAAAGCATTTTTTCAGCCGAAGAGGTTGTAGAAAAAATGCTTTTAAAAACTAAAAAAAAAAAGCCTCTGATGATCGCGCAGCTCAGCTGGGCATTGGGGGGGGAGGACAGGGATTTTTGCTACCGGTTCTCTGAACCACCTGCCTCCATCGCTACCAGATCAGGCAATCCGGTCCGAACTGGGAACATTTCACCCCTGAGATACATAGCAGGACTGTACAGTTCAGTTGCTTCCAAATGCCCAGGGCCACTAATCAAATACCTATCTAAACTCTTTAAAGCAGCTTCATCTTTTCCAAGGATCACACAGCTGAGAAAGGCAACCAGGGAAAAGACACAGCTGCTTTAAACAGATGCAGACAGATGCTATATTTGCACTGCTACAACCCTTTTGGAAACTAAACCCAAAGCATCACACAGTTCTAACAGATATCCTTTTGTGAGTTTCATTAATTCAGCAAGCATTTTGGCTACTGGAATATTTTGTTCAACAAACATGTTTTATTATTTCAATATTTCTCTTTGTCGCTCACTCTTGTATATCTGTATGTATCTATGTATGTATGTGTGTGTTAAATCTGTTAAATTCTGTTTCTTCCAAAATGATACAATATCGCTTTTTTAACAAAATAAAACAAAAAACAATACGAACCATATAATGTGCAAATTAAAGAGAGCAGCTCCTAATTCATGAAAATTGCAATAGGCATTATAAATTCATAAAGTTATTAACATTCGTTCATCTTGGGTTTTTTTTTTTTTTTCCTCTTGGAACTTCTCACAGCAGGGCAGGTACGGTTGATTGCAAAGGGGAACTTTAGCGTTAGAAAGCCAGACTCAAGGAGTCTTTTCCAATAACTATGGAAATGCTTGAGAATTAGTAATATTTAATCAAAGAAGAAATATCTTTTGCTGCTGCTTCTTTCACAAAAGATAATCAAACCATACTACAACCGTTTACACTTAATGTAGGGGAAGGAAATAATTTTGAAAATTAAGCCAGTACTTGTCAAGCTTGACCATTTAAGGTATGTGGACTTCAATACTCAGAATTCTGGAAGTTGAAGTCCATGTCTTAAAAGTTGCTTGACAACTTGAGAAACACTGAATTAGACTGCACATTTGTGCTGTAATATCAGAACAAATAAATTAAATTCCAAATGTCTCACTGCTGGGGGATTTATTCTGGCCCAAGCACAGGATTGTCACACACACTTTCAACCTAGATGATCTGAGCAGAGAGGGTTTCTAGGGAGGAAAAGCCTCATCCTGATGCAAAGTCATCCAGTGGTGGGCTGCTGCATGGTCGCAAGGGTTCGGACGAACCCTTAGCTCTGATCGCTGGCTGGGCCCGCCCACCTGCCCCTCTGCTATGCTTTCCATTTATAACTAACTTTCTGGCTAGTTGGCTGACCCATCTGTGATCTGTGCCACCCCTGCTGTACTCACTGGAGCTGCCTGAGTTGATTAGGAGCATGTTTGAGACTCCGTTTCTCTCCCAAAGGGGCGCGTGCAAGCAAAGCGAGCATGCGCATACACACTCACAACCAGCAAACTCTTTGTTAAAGTAAATGCAGCCCACCTCTGAAGTAATCCATCAGACATCCAGCGCTTGATTATCAATGGAGACTAAGTGGAGCAAGTTGTCATAAAAGAGGACCTGACTTGGGCCGCTCACATTGCAGCACTGGTCAAAAGGGCCCAGCAGAGATTATACTACTTGAGACTTCTCAGGAAACAACAACTGAATGAAAAATTGCTGCACTATAGAGAGTATTTTAACTTACTCCACCTGTGTATGGTTTGCTAATTGCACAGTGGCAGATAGGACAGCGCTCCAGAGGCTTAAGGTCATTGCCCAGAGGATCATTAGTTGCCCTCTCCCCTCCATGGAAGAGCTTCATAATTCCCGTTGCCTTAAGAAAGTTCAAAACATTCTTACGGATCCATCTCATCCTGGACACCCTTTTTTTTTTTTTTTGAACTATTACCATCTGGCAGACGGTACAGGACAATAAAAACAAAGACAAATAGGCTGAAAAACAGCTTCTATCCCAGAGCAGTAACTATATTGAACTCTACTGTATAGTGTAATATTAATGCAGTATCAGGGGTTTTCAATTCAATTGTATAGAATGTGAAGGATGTGCGCTTTTGTTTTATTTTTATCGCTTTGTTATGTATGATGTAAACTGAAGATGGCATTTAATTTCCTTGTACGAGGTGCAATGACAGTAAAGTAAACTAAAGTCTCACTCTCGGTTCATCTCTAAATTGAAACTCAGGCAGCTCCCGGTTCATCTCTAAATTGAAACTCAGGCAGCTCCCGGTTCTGTCTGGTTCTTTAGAACTGGTAGTAAAAGTGGCGGGAGGCTCCGCCCACCTGCCCAGATGTCATAATTGATGATCTGCACAAGCGCAGAAGCACACGTGCTCCTGTGAGCAAAGCGAGCATGCGCGCACACTCCTGTTGTGAACCAGTAGTAAAGGTAAGTAGAACCCACCCCTGAACTCAGGGCTGCTTCAACAGTATAGGGCAGGACAGAAAGACACTGCAAAGGTCTATTCTAAACCTGAACTCTGTCATCCATTTTATTTTAGCATGTCTAGAAGCCAATGGGTACTTCAAGGTAAGTAGCTCACAGAGGGAGAGCCAGTTACTAGGTTGATAAATATTCAGGTGACACGTACTACTTATGTTAATATTTCTAAAACCTCTTAACCAGTCCATAACATTTCAAAGCTTGTCATGTTTAGGAACTGACTCTGCAGTTTAATTTAAGGCAAGTACCACTTTACAGTTAAAAACTCTTGGTGACATTTGTTAAGCTTACTCAGGCAGCGCTATCATGGATGTCCCAAGTCTCCTTAATTTTCTTTATAGTTTATTTGTGCGCTGCAGAAGAAAAGATAAATCCTATGGAGAAAGGCAATGAAAACTTCAGACAAGATCACAGAGATAAGGACATTTCAATGCCTGAAATCCGAAATGTTAAAAGCAATCGTTTTTCTCTTGGTAAAAGCACAGACGTGAAAGCTGAACACTGAGAAAAAGCAAGAGTAAGCAAATAGATTTATTTCATTTTTTTATTAAAAAGTATCACAGACTGCAAGAAAAAATTATCAAGGACGAAATATAGGTGATAAACAGAATCTCACATAGAGGTAGTCCTTGACTTATAACAGTTCATATAGTGACCATTCAAAGTTACATTGGCACTGAAAAATGTGACTTTTGAATGTTTTTCAAAGTTACGACCTTTGCGGCATCCCCTTGATCATGTGATCAAAATCCAGATCAGTGGTGGGTTCCTCCCGGTTCGACCCGGTTCGGCCGAGCTGGTAGCAGTGACGATATGACATCACCGAACCGGTTCTCTTTGTTCAGGAGCTGGGGCCCCCCTCTCCGCCCCCCCGTGTAATTCTTACCTTTTATTTGGCCCCACCCCCAATCTATTGCTGCCTCCTGAGTCCCAGCTGATCGGCTAGAAGGAAAAAAACTGTTTAAACTCTTGCCACGGGGCTTCAAAGGGCCACCCTACAGCTGATCAGTGTTAAAAGGCAGTGTGGTGGTAGACAGGTGCCTCCAAAAACAAATGAGTAGACTGGTGCCTCCAAAAACAAATGGGTAGACCAGGATGCTCCAAGAACAAATGGGTAGACTGGTACAGCTCCGCAAGCAGTTAAAAGCCTGGTAGACCAGTATCTCTGCTAAATCCTAAAGAATTGTCATATGACCATCAAGCCACACCCACAAAATAAGCCACGCCCACAGAACCAGTAGTAAAATTTTTTAGAACCCACCCCTGATCCAGATGCTTGGCAACTGGTTCATACTTATAACCACTGCTGTGTCCCAAGGTCATGTGACCCCCTTTTGCCACCTTCTGTCAAGCGAAGTCAATGGGGAAGCCAGATTCACTTAACAACCATGTTACTAACTTATCAGTTTCAGTGATTCACTCAACAACCTATGGCCAGAAAGTTTGTAAAACGGAGCAAAAATCACTTAACACATCTCACTTTTGGCCTCAATTGGGGTCGTATAAGTGGAAGACTACCCATACTTTGGGCAAGTTGATGTAAAAGGGTGAAGGACTAGAAAACAATGATAATGCTTGGCAAGCAAAATTGGAAGATAATGCATAAAATAGATGAAAAGAATGTGAGATATTTCAGTAATGTCCTTGGAAGAGCTATACATTTTTATTAGGATAAATCAAAATGCAAAAATGATCCCTGCAATAGCCTGACTTGATAGTATCTACCTATTATGCCAAAGGCAGCGCAATAAATAATAGCAAGAAAGACCATGATAATTTACCTGCTTAAAACTATTTTGGTATTGGAACTGGTTAATTAAAGCATTACAGCACTGGATAATACACAGAGTGAAAAAAAAACCAAACAAAAGGATTTTTTAATGAGAAATGAAAACGTATTCAAATATATTTTCATGTCCTTTAGGGAGCTTACTTGCTGTATTATAAATAGTTTCTTCTAACTATAGATTGCATTTCAAGGAGAATCTTCCAGAGATGCTCAAGACTGCGAAGGGTGATCCAGATTCCAGTTTCCTCAATAAGTAGCTAAGGCATATAAATATGTTCATGCCAACAATTAACTTATAAGGGTCTCTTATAAGACCACTGTCTTGCAATCCCTCCGATAATTACGATCTATTTCTTTGCCACCTTAAAAAGAATTGTGGTGAGGAACTTGCTTAAGAAGCTATTTTTGCAGCTGATTGATTTTAACAACTATTGGCAGATGTCCAGTATTCCATATTAAGCAAGCTGGATAGAGACACTGGCACTGCAGCTCTAGAAACTCTTAGATGAAAAAGATGATTTTTTCCCCCCAGGATTTGGAAGAATAAACTGAAGCTGAACTCGGACACAATGGAGTTATTATTCATCCAGCCCTTGGTTAGCAAGAGCCATGGTGGCACAGTGGTTAGAATGCAGTACTGCACATTACTTCTGCTGACTGCTGATTGCCAGCAGTTTGGCAGTTCAAGTCCCACTGGGTCAAGGTTGACTCAGCCTTCCATCTTTCCGAGGTGGGTAAAATGAGGACCCAGATTGTTGGGAGCAAGATGCTGACCCTGTAAACTGCTTAGAGAGAGCTGGAAAGCACTGTGAAGCGGTATATAAGTCTAAGTGCTATTGCTATTACTGTATGGATTCTGGGGGCTCCTCATCCGGATTTAGTGGATATATCTGATCTGGATGAGAATTGCTCTCCATTAACGAAAGGGTTAGAATCCAGGAATCCTCTGGAACAGCTGCTACTAGAAGAGCCTTTTATCAAGTCTGAATTAATGCAACATGTCCTTCATGGAACAACTCGTGAAAATGGCCCATGGACTCCTCAATAGGCTTCCCATTATTTTAATGTTCAAAATAGCTTCACTGGTTACCAGTAGTATTCTGAACTGTAATCTTTTTTAAATCAATTATGGGACTTAAATGACTGCCCATTTTATGTGCCATAGCTCTGAGTGGCGTATGCCAACAATGATAAAACATAAAAGAAACCGTAGAAGAGTATCCAAAAAAATGACTCCCAAGCTCTAAAACTATCAGATTGCTAACTATCAGATTGGGAAACCAAAACTGGAAAAGATGCAGCAATGGCACAATTGACAGTACAATATATGTCCATAACACACATTTAATCAAATTTAAGCAAGAATGGCTCTCAGAGGTATTACACATTACACAGCAGGGCAAATGTAGACGCATTTGGTATGTGGCTTTGAGGAAGAAAGTTATGGACTAATGAAAAATAATACCTGAAAGGATTCAAATAGATACTAGCAATAATCTTCAGTGTTTAAGGTAAAGCACACAGTATATATCTATGTGGTGGCTGGCAACTGGAGAAATAAACAAAAGGGAGAGAAAAATATGTAACTAGAAAGTTTTCACATTACGTTTTTATGTTTTATTCATGCTTAGAAGTTTTCTTGATTTGTTATTCAGCTGTTACTATGCAATGTAGACGGTTTTCCTTTGAATTATTTTTATTATATTATCTGTATATTGCTTTTTACTATTTTTATTATTAAAATAAATACCATATTTTTCGGAGTATAAGACGCACCTTTTTCCTCCAAAAAAGAGGGTGAAAATCTGGGTGTCTCTTATACTCCGAATGTAGCCCCACCCAGCTTCTCAAACGGAGGTTTCAGAGGCTGAAAAAAGCATCAGAAAAGAAGCTTCAGAAAAGAAGCCCCCAAACAGAGCTTCAGAGGCTTTTTTTTTTTCTGAAGCTCTGTTTCGGAGGCTTTCAGAGGCAGGAAAAAAAGTTTTTTTTTCTGAAACAGAGTTTCAGAAGTTTCAGAGGCAGGAAAAAAAGCAAAAAAAAAAAAAAAGCAAGGCACAGAGCTCACAACCAAGGAACCTGTTGCTAAAATTCACCTCTGGGAATAGCTGATTAGGGGTATTCCGGGAGGCCGGTCCACCTGCCAATCAGCTTTTTTCTTATTTTCCTCCCCAAAAACTAAGGTGCGTCTTATACTCCAGTGCGTCTTATATTCTGAAAAATACGGTATATATATTTTAAAAACCCAAACACAACCCTGCTCTTTTCCAGCCATGTATTTATGTTGTGCACACTCCTCGTGCTATTGCTGACTATTCATTTTTCCTGCTGGAAGCCAACCACCCTGGCTGAGACCACATCCAACATCTACACACCATCTCTCAGAGCCTTAATGGGACACCTGTATGTTTGACAAGGGCAATCAATTCTACTTCCCCATAGCAGACGCTTAATATGGAATAAAGTGCCACTGGAATTAAAATCTGCTCACTCTTTGCTAGAGGCTCAGCACACAGGCATTATTTACCTAGGCCTTTAAATGCTGCTGCTTTATTCATGCCTTTACTCATCATGTTTTAAATACTATTCTCATGTCTATTTTTACTGCATCTTTATAAGTAGCCAAAAGCTGTTAGAGAAGAAATAGGCAGCAAGTAGATTTCTATAGGAATTCTAAACACACCCCGTTTCTGATCTTCCTTCCTGATAGGAAATCTGAAGAGAGCCAGAATCCCACATAGTGATTTATGAATCGGTGTGCACCTTCCAAGTGTTACATTTTGGAGTGACAATCTTGAGCTATTTCTCCCATAACACTAACACTGAATTAGAAACGCAGCCCATGCATAGATGCTCCCGACATAGTGAGAGTTGTATTATGTGTCGAGGTTCAAAGCATTCACTTTCCAAAGTGATAGATCCTGTGAGGTGAGATGTCTCCAGAGGTGGGATTCTACCGGTTTGGGCAAACCGGTAGCTCTGACGATCAGCTGGGAGCGAACTGGTTCGCTCCGACGATCAGGTGGGCCAACCCGCCCACCCCCGTGCTTTACTGACCTCAGCTGATTTACGCAGCAGAGCGGATTGCCGTGCCTCAGCTGTGTTACTCCCCAGCAGTAAAGCGGAAGGTAAATTTTCGTAAAACTGCTCACGCATGCAAAGCGCGCGATCACTGAACCAGTTAAACCAGTGGGATACCGCCACTGGATGTCTCCTAACATCCTGTTCTTCAGATGTGTTGAAATACAACTCTCAGAATCTCCAATGAGCAAAACAATGCTGACTGGGAATTATGGGTGTTATAGTTCATCACGTCTAAAAAGCATTAAACATGGCAAAATCCTGGGAAGATTTCAAAGGGGTTTTTTTTAATACACAATAGCACCAAATGCCAATATTGTGTAAATTTAATTTCAATTAAACATTCAATTCAGACAGGGAACTTAATAGCAATTTCTGTGAAAAGTTCATTCTTCCTAAATGAATTAATAGCATGAGAGAGATAGAAAATAAAGATCCATCTTAACTTATCAATAGGAATCTGCGTTGTGTTGGGCACCTCTGCACTGATCAGCTCCAAGGAGCCACAAAGAAATCAATACCAATGAGTGAGCATTTCCCACAGACAGATCTGATTAAACAGATTTTCTAATGTCCCTGCCTGAGTAATTCGTGCTTCTCACTCCAACAGAATTAATGTCTGCTAAGAAGCTTAGAACATTTAAGCTGAATGTTTAGGTAAAACAAAAATTACACTAATTTTCCAGTTTTATACAACAAGGTAAATAAATACAACTACATTCTAATCTTTAATTCAGGATAAAGGAATGTCAATTAAGTTTTGCTGAACCAAAATCCCAACAATATTCTGGGACAGATTTTTAAAGTATATGTTGGGCTTGGAAGCCATCTTTTGCATTGGATCTTCAGGCCTGCCACATTTACTACTGTGGGAAACTGGGAGAGAGGATGGTATGGAGCAAGGGTGATATATAGTCATAATAATATTCCGTTCTCAGAGCGTCAAGGACATCTTGCCTTGCACCTGGAGGGGTGTGACTGGGAGGCATCTCCAGATGGGATGGTGCATTGATTGGACCATGTGATGGACATATGGGTGCTGGGCAGGGACTTGGACTTTCCTTTGGGTGGGGAAAACCTGGAAGCTTTCAGATTCGGGTTTTCCCAGATGTGCCAATATGACATCCCTAATAAAATGGAACTTTGGGGAACTTCAAGCCTTGGAGTTTTCTTTCATTTGGGGTGTTACTTGGAACCCTGACAGCATATTCCAAATATTTTAATCTGAAATACAAAATGGAAGAGAAATATTGTTTCCACAAATAATACATACAGTAGTGGCCAAAATTGTGAAAACCTTTTGGGAAAAGTGTACTTTTGAGGTTTGATGGCTAATAACACCACTTTTGGGGGGAGTTTCAAGATAATCCTATTCCACTGCTGGAATGGCCTGGGAATAGCCCAGACCTTAACCCAATTGAAAATCTATGGAGCCAACTAAAGAAACTTGTTAGTCAGAAGCCACCCAGCAATAAAACCCAGTTAATAGAAGCAATCATTCAATCTTGGTTTCACATTATAACAGCTGCAGAACTCAAAGACTTGGTTCACTCCATGGGAAGACGTTGTAAGGCCGTAATTCATGCTAAAGGTTACCCAACTAAGTATTAACTGATATGGTGATAATTTTTGTATATCTCGTTTTTTCTACGTGTTTCACTTTTCTTCTTTATACCGTAACTGCTATTCTAATAGCAAATCCTTCCTAAAAGTTATTGCATTACATTCTTGATTCAATTATCCACTTAGGAAACGTTTCCCACAGTAATTACAGTATATAATCATACGTACTGTATGGACCATAATTTTCCTGCACAGACCAAGACTTCCTCAGAGACATATTTCTTACTAGTTTCAAGATACTAGAGTTAAGATTTGGCATCAAAGCTACTTCACTTTACTTTAAAGGAAAAATGAATATATATGATGCTGAAATACAATAACATGCTGTGATCTCAATACTATAGAAAGCAAATTTCAGAATACATTTCAATGATGCTTTTAACAACTCAGTCCTGTCCACTGGTCTGTCTCATTCCTAATAAAATGATGATGACAATTTACTGTCGTTAAACTATTCATTATACACCTGCAAAAGTATAGGAGCCAACACCTGCAAATACCTGATACCATTCCATTGAAGAGCCATCTGGGCCAGGAGCTTTTCCATTTTGCAACAAATGAATAGTAGAATCCTAACCTGGGCTCTAAACCAAGCACCCCTATAATCTGAATAAAACTGCAGACTGAGTCTGAAACAACATTTTTTTTTAATTTTTTTTTTTTTAATTTGATTTATATGCCGCCCTTCTCCGGAGACTCAGGGCGGCTTACAATGCGTTAAGCAATAGCCTTCATCCTTTTGTATATTTATACAAAGTCATCTTATTGCCCCCACAAACTGGGTCCTCAATTTACCTACCTTAGAAAGGATGGAAGGCTGAGTCAACCTTGAGCCTGGTGAGATTCAAACTTACAGTAATTGCAGACAGCTGGTGTTAATCACAATGCTATCAGTCTGCTGAGCCACCAGGCCCTTATTTACTTGAATTTTAAAAATTAGAAATATACGCAATGTCCAAACCATCAACAAAGATTTGTGATTAATTGAAGAGGCTGATTAAAATATATTGCAAGAATTTTAAAAGAATGCTCAAGGGCCTACTTGACATAATCCACACTACAATAACTTTAACAAAGCTTTATAAATCGTTACTTCCACTTGCAACATGATGGTTTTTATTACTGACACAATGAAATGATTAAAATGTGCTGGGTTACATTTTTGGCAGTTTTCAGATTTACTTCTGATTTTGCCCAGCTATAAATTCTAGCTTAGTAGTATGAAAGATATTAAGGGAGCTTTTAGATGGTGCACTTTATTTGCATTGCACAAACAACATAGAGCAAAGGTTACTTCAGGCTCTTACCTAATGCCATTTTTTCCATAAATAAAGACAAATGAAACACTTTTAAAGGAGTAAAATAGTCAATCAATTTTGCTTTATCTATTCAGCCTGCTTTAGGTATGATTTACATTATAGGAGTAAACCAAGATAGAAAAGGCTATGAATAAAGGTGATTTAAGGAGGAACACATGGATGCTTTTTGCACATATAAAAACATGTTATTCCTCGGTCTGAAGTAGTAGCCCATCGGGGATATGCTGCTGGAACCAAATTGCCACATGTGAGCAGCATGAGAGTTTTCACAAACTTTAGAATACACACGCATACATCGATACAAACAAATATACAAGGGATGAACCTATAGACCTGAAGCTTCTATCAAACCCAACGAGCCCATCTTATCATAAGGAATTTTTGGAACCACAGTCCAAGAAATAGTAAAATGGAAATCTAAGCAACATCTGTACCACTACTGCTTAGAGCGTGATGGCGAATAGAGGTGGCACACAGAGGAGGCACACTCTGTGGGTACGTGCGCCATCGCCAGCTGCTCTTCTGGTTTCCAGCGCACGCATGCGTGTCAGCCAGCTGGTCTTTGTGCACGCTGAGAAGATAAAGGTAAGTAAAGTGCAGGGATGGGCGGGCGGGCTGACCTGATCCTTGGAGTGAACCGGTTCGCTACCAGTTCACCCGAACCAGTCCAAATCGTTAGAATCCCACCAGAGATGGGTTTCAGCAGGTTTTGACAAGTTCTGGAGAACCGGTAGTGGAAATTTTGAGTAGTTTGGAGAACCGGTAGTAAAAATTCTGACTGGCCCCACCCCCATCTATTCTCTGCCTCCCAAGTCCCACCTGATTGGGAGGAAATGGGCATTTTGCAATAACCGTTCTGTGGATTGGGATCAGAATGGAGATTTCACAGTATCCTTCCTCTGCCACACCCACCAAGCCACACCCACACAACCGGTAGTAAAAAAATTTGGAACCCACCACTGAATCCCACCCCTGCTCATGGATCATACCTAATTTTTAGGGGGCAAAGAAAACAGACCTTCCCACAAAAAAAAAAAAAGAGGAAGGCATGGATGCTTATTCACCAAAAATAATAATCTAGGGGAGAAGAGAGTTTTAAAAAAATACTACAGGGCAAAAAGAAATCAACAAAATGGGATTTCTATAATAACAAACCCAAGTTAAATAAATTATGTTACTGAAAGATAATGTGATTGTCCTACCGCAAGTTCATCGAGAGCACTTCCAAGAGAGGCTGACTGTGGGACTTGTTGAACTTTGGGATGTCCAATTCCTTGGGAGGCATTGGAGATGACATCAAGGGCATTTTGTATCTCCTTACAAACAGAGTCCTTGCTGGCAGTGAGAGAGTCGACATCGGAGTGCTCCAAGCAAGCGGAGCAAACTGAATGCAGCAGAGGCGAAGTCTCCTTCAGAGAAGCCCGTGCCGCTGCAATCTCATCTCGATGACTGTTAGATTTTAAATCCTATCCGGAAAGACAAGATGGTTATTTTTAATATTATCCATATAAACCTTTCAAAAATTATTCAGGATAAAATATTCCAGAACAAATGAAAACTCTGCTGTCTTTTAAGCTGTCTGCTCAAGCATGGAAGGAAACATGGTCGCTTCAAGTGGTTGACTTTTACAAGTTCATCAGGCAATAAAACAGACTCTGCGATCATTTTTTTCAAACATTTCAAAGCAGACAAGTAATTTGTAACAAATTATTTCAATTTGTTCAACTTTTTTTCCAATAATAAATTGATTAAGAAGTGTTCGTTAACTAATTTGTTCCTTAATAGAATAGAATAGAATAGAATAGAATAGAATAGAATAGAATAGAACAGAACAGAACAGAACAGAACAGAACAGAACAGAACAGAATAGAATAGAATAACAGAGTTGGAAGGGACCTTGGAGGTCTTCTAGTCCAACCCCCTGCTTAGGCAGGAAACCCTACACCACTTCAGACAAATGGTTATCCAACATCTTCTTAAAACTTCCAGTATTGGAGCATTTACAACTTCTGGAGGCAAGTTGTTCCACTGATTAATTATTCCAAACGTCAGGAAATTTCTCCTTAGTTCTAAGTTGCTTCTCTCCTTGATTAGTTTCCACCCATTGCTTCTTGTCCTACCCTCAGGTGCTTTGGAGAATAGCTTGACTCCCTCTTCTTTGTGGCAACCCCTGAGATATTGGAACACTGCTATCATGTCTCCCCTAATCCTTCTTTTCATTAAACTAGACATACAAAGTTCCTGAAACCGTTCTTCATATGTCTTAGCCTCCAGTCCCCTAATCATCCTTATTGCTCTTCTCTGCACTCTTTCTAGAGTTTCCACATCTTTTTTTACATCATGGTGACCAAAACTGAATGCAGTATTCCAAGTGTGGCCTTACCAAGGCATTATAAAGTAGTATTAACGCTTCACGTAATCTTGATTCTATTCCTCTGTTTATTCTATCCCTCTGCTTTCTAGCACATGGTATTGTAACAAGCCTTGGATGAAAGGAAAGAACTTGTGCAAAAGGTGTAGGAGGAGATTTTGTCTTTTGTTTTTTTGAAATGCCCATTGAAAGTGTCCATTACTCAAGAGAACACCTTCCTGGATCAGTCAAATCAAGGCTTTCTTTACCTAAATTCATCTGAAATCTCATAAACAGATTATGATAGAAATAGGAAAAAAATAGGGAAGTGGCTATTTAAAATGTGTGATAATCCTCCTATTCTTTTCATAGGAACGAATCCTCAACCTTAAATCACATAGAAATGTATCTTTTCCATTAAAAGGAAGGAAGAATCGGAGTATTATAACATATGGGGGCAATTTTATCATTGGATAGAAAATTAATATGGACAAAAAGTGGTATAAAATCAAATAATTTTGGAAGAAAAAGTGTTTTAATAGGAAATATATTAAATTGAAATGTAAAAGCAAAGAAATATATATATATATATATATATATATATATATATATATATATATATAAAATGATGGTAAGCGTTAAATATGATGAAACAAAACTTGTAACCCAGATGACACACTGATTGATTAACTATGTAATGTTTGTTTTAAAAGAAAAAAAAGAAAAAAACTTTTTATTAAAAAAAAAAGAAATGTCTATTTTCCTTACCCACTGAACTCTCTAACAATCCAGGAGCTGAAACTCCATTCTCAGAGTCAGACGCACCCAATAAGAATTTAATTCATGTCACAAAGATTAAAAAACAAAATTTCTGCACATGTATAGATATTTGCACACAAATACTTGTATAATCTTGCCTTTGCCAGATGAGATGTGGATAATGCATTTGGATTGTTTTCTCTGTGTTGAATTTTCTTATAGAAATGAAATTTAATTCTGTATAAACATTTAAAGCATCAGTGATGAGAAAAAAAAAACCCCAGAAATAAATTACATATCTCTCCTCAATAGCTGATGTACAATATAGAAGGAACAAGTTACAGTTTCAAAGTCACTAATAATGTGACTTTGTGAATATGACACTAATTTACCCAGTGGAGCACCAGAAACTGTTTTCAAGAAATGCAGAAACCGGAATCACTAAAGCCAATAAATATAACTCAGGAGAACCAGGATACTGGATTGCCAGGAGGAGGAGAAGAGGGAAGAGAATTTCTCCCAAATTGTTTGACATATTGCTCTGCTAACCAGCCAATTCACATTAAGGAACATAAAACCTCTAAACTGCCCTGCTTGTTCATAAACCAGATTCTGTGGCCGTGTATCTCAGTGTCTTAAAGTAAGTCAATATATTTACTCTGTATTGCAGAGAGGTGCATTTGTCTAATCCCCTTAACAAGTGCATGACTGAGGTGATGTAAGAACATGAGGTAAAATAATAGCATTATGGTATCCAGGCAGTAGTGGGATTGAAATCCCTCTGCTACCGGTTCACTCGTGGGCATGCGCATGCTTGCACGTGACACTTCTGCGCATGCGCAGAGACGTCTGGGTGAGTGGGCGGAGCCTCCCGCTGCCACTGCTACCTGTTTGCCCGATTCGGGGCGAACCTGTAGCAACCCACCACTATATCCAGATGTCAAATACGTATGAGGGTTAAGCCAAAGAAGCAAGGGAAAAAATGTTGGTTATCTACAGATCACATCTTGTTAGAGCAGAAACAAACTCAATATCATTTTTAAAAGATTTCCAGAGAAACAAAGATCTCAAGGCAAGTATTTATGGTTCCATAACATATCCTGGGGTATATTGTATTAACTACAGCATATGCTTCATAGATAAAAAGCTGTAAAAATGCAGCATCTAATTTTTCCTAATCACACATGCATAAATGATTTCCCTTGGCTCATTTCTGCTTCATACCTCCATATATTTCAGTCACTACGCAATATAACAAAAATTAAGAATTGTCTTTCCCTTGTAAAAAATATAATTTTCAAAATTACTATCTGGATTCTTAAATGTACCTTTCTGTCTTCAGCTATGAAATCTTTGCAGTTTAATTACTGTCTAAAAATACTATTAAGTTTAATGATACTTGCACATGCCTAAAGATTTCTTTCTCTCTTTCCCCTCCCTCCTCCTCTCATTTTTATTTTATTTTTCTTTTCATAAAACTGCTTAACTCACACTTGAATGCAATTTGTTTTAGGCAGTATATAAATATAAACTAAGGCAATTAGCACCTCTGTCAAGTTTCTTGTGCTGGTTTTCCTCTGGGAAACTCATAATATCCTAATTGTTCTGAGTTTCTGCTTCTTGGCAAACTCTCTTTTCAGACCACTTTCTTTATTTGATTCCCCATTAGGAATCATTTTTCCTCCATCCTAGCTCACTGCCTGTCTCCCACTTTTCCTGTTTTATCCATATCTAATCCAAGAACATTTACTACACCTTCAACATATGTGTCAGCGTTCCAAATAATGCACTCATTGAAAGCAGAACTCCGAGACAGGTAGATTCCTCAAAGAACAGGTTTATTGGATATATCATATTGGCACAACCGGTAAAAACCGACTCTGAAAGTTCCCGCAGTTTTCACCAAATTAAAAAATGAAAGTTCCCCCTTCCCCCTGGGTGATCAGACACATTGTTTAATAGAGGTACTGGCAAATTGCTTGGTTACTCCACTCCTCCTCACTCAGCCACCTGTTGGAATGACCTTGGTTCCCACAGGAAAACTTTTTGTTTTGGCGGCAAAGCCAAGCCAAATTCCCCTCCCCCTCCTCTGCCTTGTGGCAACCATGAAGCCGCAAAGATGGCCTCAGCCAGGTTCGCCTCAGGGTTGACAATATGACTGAAAAAATCTTCCATACTTGAAAATAAGATAAGGAAAAAGACAGCTGGAGGAAAAAGGAGGGTAGAGAGCAGCTCCAGTAGTTGATACCAGATCAAATCATGAGAAGTAGTCTCAAGGAGGGCTTGAGTGGAGGGCATTTGGCAAAGGAGTTTCACAGACGATTTATGCATTTGCAAAGATTGAAATCTTTTGTCCCATAAATTCTTCACCAAAATGGGGGCGGGGGGGGGAAATGACCCAAACTTTTAGCCCCATCTATTTTGAGTGACTCTGAAGGTCATGAAGTTGATGTTTTAGGACTGCATGCAAATCCAGTACATACTTTCTGCACCTTTCAAAAAGTACTAGTAATTTGACTTATAACATTCCATAGGATTGATAATCTTCCTGAAACTGATTGGCGGGGGGGGGGGGAATCTTTACAGAGCATCATCAGGTTGCTACTGGCATGACTCTGTCTCAGGGGTGAAATCCAGCAGGTTCTGACAGGTTCTGGAGAACCGGTAGCAGAAATTTTGAGCAGTTCAGAGAACCGGTAGTGGAAATTTTGAGTAGTTCGGAGAACCGGCAAATACCACCTCTGGTTGGCCCCAGAGTGGGGTGGGAATGGAGATTTTGCAATATCCTTCCCCTGGATTGGAGAGAGAATGGACATTTTGCAGTATCCTTTCCCTTGAGTGGGGTGGGAATGGAGATTTTGCAGTATTCTTCCTCTGCATGCCTACCAAGCCACACCACACTCACCAAGCCACGCCCACAAAACCAATAGTAAAAAAAATTGGATTTCACCACTGTTCTGTCTCCTTTCCATTCCATAGAGATGGCAGAGGTCCTGAAGTTATAAAAAGATTGCATGAGCTAACAAAATAAAATCACGGCAAAATGAAAGCTAGAGTTGATGAAGAGATCTATTCCAGGATTAAGTATATAACCTGTAGGTGCCTTTCCTTAAGGGAGAGAGTTCACTCTGAATTTCTGAGTCAGCAGTATTTGCCCTGTATTGATACATTGGGTACAGTGTTCCCAATGACGTTAATATTCTTCACATAGGTCAGCTTTGAAGAAATTTTGGAGGCTACAACAGTACCAAACAGAGATGTCAGAGTGTGATTAATCTTCAGAATATATCTCTCTTCTATGATAAACTGCCTATCTTCCTCCAGTCCCAGGATGAGAAGGCCAGGATTAATATTTTA